CCGATTCCATTCCTTTCGACTCCGATGGATTCCGATTCCGATTCGATTCGATTTCGGATTCCGATTTGGGCTCCGTTACCTCATTGGACGCATACTAGCCTGCCGATTTCCGCCGATTCGACTTTTCCCGACTCGGCTGCCGATTTCTGCCGATCCGACTTATTTCGATCGCCGATCCGACTTCTCGATTCGATTCTGGGCTCCCCTGGGGATTAGGGGTCACCTCACGGTTTTGGGACTCGGGTCGTTCTCCGAGGACGTCTCGGGCGACAGAGGCCTCCAGGGTCCCGAGACCGTGCGGTGACGGACCGTGGGGTGAGGTCTCTTGGGGTTCCGAGGCCACCGCACGGTCTGTCACCGCACTGCTTCGGGGCTCCAACGATTCCGCGCAGATCCCAGAGCTCCGCGCCGACTCCGAGAGCGTATGTTTTTTCCCCACATCCTAAGTGGGGTTGTTGTTTTCTCTGCACACCCTCCGCGCAGGATCTCTCCCCCTCCTCCTCCTCCCTCTCCTCTGCTCCTCTTTGCTTCCTCCTCCGCATCATTATCACCATCACCATCACTCCCCACTCATCATCACCATCAGCATCACCATCACCATCCCACGATCACTCACCATCATCGGCATCGAACGATCATCATCATCATCATCATCATCATCATCATCATCATCATCATCATCATCATCATCGCTGACTTGAGGCCTGAATATGGAGGAAGTCTCGAGCGGGAGCCTCGTCTGTGAGTGAATTGCGAGGAAGTCTCAGGCGGGAGCCCCCTCCCTATGGGGCCCGCACTTCATGTTTGAATCCGAGCGGGTCATCTGCAACGTGCAACTGTCGTCACTTTTGGGCCTTTGAGACTTGAATATGGGGGAAGTCTCGAGCGGGAGCCTCGTCTGTGAGTGAATTGTGAGGAAGTCTCAGGCGGGAGCCCCCTCCCTATGGGTCCCGCACTTCATGTTTGAATCCGAGCGGGTCATCCGCCACGTGCAACTGTCGTCACTTTTGGGCTCTTGAGATATGAATATGGAGGACGTCTCGAGCGGGAGCCTCGTCTGTGAGTGAATTGTGAGGAAGTCTCAGGCGGGAGCCCCCTCCCTATGGGGCTGTTCCCCACATCCTAAGTGGGGTTCTTGTTTTCTCTGCACACCCTCCGCGCAGGATCTCCTCCTCCTCCTCCCTCTCCTCTGCTCCTCTTTGCTTCCTCCTCCGCATCATCATCACCATCACCATCACTCCCCACTCATCATCATCATCATCACCATCAGCATCACCATCACCATCCCACGATCACTCACCATCATCGGCATCGAACGATCATCATCATCATCATCATCATCATCATCATCATCATCATCATCATCATCATCATCATCATCATCATCATCATCATCATCATCATCACTACTCGCTGACTTGAGGCCTGAATATGGAGGAAGTCTCGAGCGGGAGCCTCGTCTGTGAGTGAATTGCGAGGAAGTCTCAGGCGGGAGCCCCCTCCTTATGGGGCCCGCACTTCATGTTTGAATCCGAGCGGGTCATCCGCAACGTGCAACTGTCGTCACTTTTGGGCCTTTGAGACTCGAATATGGAGGAAGTCTCGAGCGGGGCCTCGTCTGTGAGTGAATTGCGAGGAAGTCTCAGGCGGGAGCCCCCTCCCTATGGGGCCCGCACTTCATGTTTGAATCCGAGCGGGTCATCCGCAACGTGCAACTGTCGTCACTTTTGGGCTCTTGAGACTCGAATATGGAGAAAGTCTCGAGCGGGAGCCTCGTCTTTGAGTGAATTGCGAGGAAGTCTCAGGCGGGAGCCCCCTCCCTATGGGGCCCGCACTTCATGTTTGAATCCGAGCGGGTCATCCGCCACGTGCAACTGTCGTCACTTTTGGGCTCTTGAGATATGAATATGGAGGAAGTCTCGAGCGGGAGCCTCGTCTGTGAGTGAATTGTGAGGAAGTCTCAGGCGGGAGCCCCCTCCCTATGGGGCCCGCGCTTCATGTTCGAATCCGAGCGGGTCATCCGCAACGTGCAGCTGTCGTCACTTTTGGGCTCTTGAGATATGAATATGCAGGAAGTCTCGAGCGGGAGCCTCGTCTGTGAGTGAATTGCGAGGAAGTCTCAGGCGGGAGTCGGGCCCGCACTTCATGTTCGAATCCGAGCGGGTCATCCGCAACGTGCAACTGTCGTCACTTTTGGGCTCTTGAGATATGAATATGGAGGAAGTCTCGAGCGGGAGCCTCGTCTGTGAGTGAATTGTGAGGAAGTCTCAGGCGGGAGCCCCCTCCCTATGGGGCCCGCACTTCATGTTTGAATCCGAGCGGGTCATCCGCAACGTGCAACTGTCTTCACTTTTGGGCTCTTGAGATATGAATATGGAGGAAGTCTCGAGCGGGAGCCTCGTCTGTGAGTGAATTGCGAGGAAGTCTCAGGCGGGAGCCCCCTCCCTGTGGGGCCCGCGCTTCATGTTCGAATCCGAGCGGGTCATCCGCAACGTGCAACTGTCGTCACGTTTGGGCCTTTGAGACTCGAATATGGAGGAAGTCTCGAGCGGGAGCCTCGTCTGTGAGTGAATTGTGAAGAAGTCTCAGGCGGGAGCCCCCTCACTATGGGGCCCGCACTTCATGTTTGAATCCGAGCGGGTCATCCGCAACGTGTAATTGTCGTCACGTTTGGGTTCGCGGGAGCTTCGTCTGTGAGTGAATTGCGAGGAAGTCTCAAGCGGGAGCCCCCTCCCTGTGGGGCCCGCACTTCATGTTTGAATCCGAGCGGGTCATCCGCAACCTGCAATTGTCGTCACGTTTGGGCTCTTGAGACTTGAATATGGAGAAAGTCGAGCGGGAGCCTGGTCTTTGAGTGAATTGCGAGGAAGTCTCAGGCGGGAGCCCCCTCCCTATGGGGCCCGCACTTCATGTTTGAATCCGAGCGGGTCATCCGCAACGTGCAACTGTCGTCACTTTTGGGCTTTTGAGACTTGAATATGGAGGAAGTCTCAAGCGGGAGCCTCGTCTGTGAGTGAATTGCGAGGAAGTCTCAGGCGGGAGCCCCCTCCCTATGGGGCCCGCGCTTCATGTTCGAATCCGAGCGGGTCATCCGCAACGTGCAACTGTCGTCACGTTTGGGCTCTTGAGATATGAATATGGAGAAAGTTTCGAGCGGGAGCCTCATCTGTGAGTGAATTGTGAGGAAGTCTCAGGCGGGAGCCCCCTCCCTATGGGGCCCGCACTTCACGTTTGAACCCGAGCGGGTCATCCGCAACGTGCAACTGTCGTCACTTTTGGGCTCTTGAGATATGAATATGGAGGAAGTCTCGAGCGGGAGCCTCGTCTGTGAGTGAATTGTGAGGAAGTCTCAGGCGGTAGCCCCAGGAGGAAGAGGAAAGGGCAAAGGGTAGGCTAAACAGATTCTCATGCGGGGTCCTACCGTCGGAGTAATTGCAGTGGTGTTTCTCCCCAGGACGGAGATGACTATTTACCCAGCCCCCGTCTCGAAGCGGGTCTTGGAGGTGTTTCGCCGTCTGCAGGGTCCCTCTGCCTAGGGACCGTCCGAACACGAGCTAGAGCGAAAGGGCGGCGCCAGCCAAGGCCCTGGGGTCGGACGCGGTTCCACCGAGATTCTATTCGCCCATGCCCGAAGGATATTCCGGATTCCATAATAAAGTGGGGGGGAGTCACATTTTGGGAGGGGTCTGATTTGAGCTGTCTTGGAGGGCTCGGGGGGGTCTGGGCAAAGGGCCGCCCTTTCATGGATGGTCTGGGGGGGTCTAAGACTTCTCGTCTGGGAGGGTTGTGACCCCCTCCCTTTTATTACGAAATCTGGAGTACCCGCCGCAAAGGAAATCCAAACCTGTCTGGGGCCTCCAGCCTGTCCTGCCAGCATGCCTTGAGGGTTTCCAGGCGGTCTCCGGGCCGTCCAAAGCTCAGGATTGGGAAAAAACACACAGACACAATTCATCGTCGATTCCCCAGAAAATATGGGAAACTATGGGAAGTGCTGAGAAATATTGGAAAATATGGGGAATTATTTTATTCGTGTGTATTTATTTGTGTGTGGGCCCCTTCAAAAACAGACCAGAAATGTCCAAAAGGTCCGGAGAATTCTGGCAAGTCGAGATTTCAATTTCAAGCCTTCAGGGTTCACAACTTTTCTTACCTCTCACAGTAGCATGAGCCCTGGGGCGCCCCACTCCGCGCCCAAGGCACGGGTGGGGTTCACAGACACAGCTGGCGTCAAGCGCGAGCGTTTGAGGCGAGGGTTCCTGTTGCATTGGCATGGTTTCTGCTTCGTCGGTCCACGGGTTCCCCAGCACATTTCAGGAGGGGAAAAAAAAACACAGACACAATTAATCATCGATTACCAGGAAAATATGGGAAAATATGGGAATTGGGCGGGAAGACAAAAACCCAGAAACTATTGGAAAATATGGGGAATATTTTTATTTGTGTGTATTTATTTGTGTGTCCCAGGGCCCCTTCAACACTGGCGCGCTCCAGAGCGCCCTGGCGCGTCCCAGTCAGGCGCCCTGCACTGGTGCGGCTCCGGGTTGCGCACAGGCGGCCGCCCCAGGGAGTCCCGGCTTGCCCCAGCCCCCCCCATCAAGGGGCGGGAGGAGCGAGCAGCAGGGCAGCCGAGAAATAGAGTTAAGTAGGGCACTTCCTTACACAGGAGGAAGATTCCAAACATTGTTTAAGCATAGTCTGGGGACATTATTTTCACTATTTGACTACTTTTTATTATCCGTTTTTTGACATTTTTTTGAATTCCACTTTTTTTGTTTTTTTTGTGTGTTACTTTTTTTGAAGTTCAAGTTTGAGTGAGTTTGGAATATGGTTGAATACTTTTTGACAATTTTTAATTATTCGTCCGAAGTCCGCCTGTAGAGGGACATGCCCGACCTCAGAGCAGAGGGCGTGCGCGGCGGAAGGAGGCAGGACGGCCGGGGCGAGGAGGGCAGGGATGGGGGGGGGGGGCCAGGATCCGAGGGGAGGGCGCCTCGGCCGAGGTCTACGGCAACGCGGTGTTTTTGTACGGCCTCCACCAGTATCTGCCCAGCATGGTCTCGCCCTTGGAGAAACAGACGCAGGCTCCGTGGGTGATCCTGGCAGCGTTTCTCATCGGGGGTGCCTCAGGCGAGTCGCCGCCCCCCCCCTGCATCTTGTGGCAACGCCCGTGCGGCCACACAGGGCGCGAGCTAAGCGGTATCTTCGCGGTTGCGTGGGCCGTGTTCGTTTTGATGTCGTTTTGCAGCAAAGGGCGGAACGAAAACAAAACTAGGGAAACGAGCACAATTTGATCGTTTTCTTGTTCATTGTTTTGCCGATCGGCGCGGGCCCTCGTACCCCCCCTCCCCCTCCCATGGAGTAGATCTTGGCTGCTTATAGCGCTTGCCTTAAGCAGGTGGAGTCTCCCCCATTTGGCGCACTGCTGCAAGCAGTCGCATTGAGAAGAGGTCCGGAGCCAGACCCGCCCCTCCCCCTTTCCGCCCAATGTCGAAACGCGGAATCAGGAAACGTTCATTACGCGATCTAGGAACCCCACATATTCATCATACGTCTGGCGTATAGCTGAAGTGAAATTTTTGAGGATGATGCTGGTGGCCGTTGCTTCGCCGATACCGGTGCTTAGCCGACAGAACTGCCGGAAACCGCTGCGGGGTGAAAGCCTGCGCGGGCGAAGCCATCGTTGGCGTGGCCTTTGCGGGCGTGGTCTTTGTAGGAGTGTCGTGGTGTCCTGAGGACGGTGCCGGGCCAGCGCCCGCGACGCCGGCCTCTTGCAGTCGCCGAGCATTCGGGAGCGGCGGGCTTCCGTCCGCCCCCATCTCCCCATGGCATATCAGAAGAAGCGTCTCGTGGAAATCCACCAGAGAGAGGGTCCTGCATGTGCCTCACCCAGCAGTGTTTCCTTGCATCGTCGGCACCTCGTTTACGCGGCGACTCATTGTACCCAGTAAGGAGCGTCTTGGGCCACCAGTTCATCACCTTTTTGTGGTAAGCACCAAGTGCGCTGCGCACCACCAAGACGTTCCCATGCCTGACCACATGTCCACGCAAACCATCCAGGTTCACTTTGGCGCCCAGCCCAAGCGTCAATTTCTTGAGCTGCTCGCACGGCGGTGCCAGCGCGGACGTGGCGCCTTTTGGGCGCCATGACGGGGACCGTACTTTTGACGGCGAGTCACCGGCGGTCGTCCGCGCTCACGTATCGATTAGTCTGAGTCTGCATTAGCCAGGGTGGCTACGGATCTTGACGATGATGATAGCGACCCCCCCGCTGGCGTGCCCCTGTGGCCTTGAGAAAACGCCACGCGCGTTAGGCCCCGGACCACCGCACCCCCTGCGCACCCCCTATGATGCCGAGAAAGTGCCACGCATGCTATGCGTTGCGCGACTGCCTGCGTAGCGGCCGCGCTCAGAGACCACCCCCTGCGCACCCCCATGTGGTGTCGAGTAAGTGCCACGCCTGCTATGCCTTGCGCGACCGTTATGCACAGCGGCAGCGCTCAGACACCACCCCGTGCGCCCCACCTATGGTGTCGAGAAAGTTCCACGCCTGCTGTGCATGGACGACTGGGTCTGGACGTGGCGCATGCGTTTTGGGTGTGTGATGCTCTGAGCACGCCAGGCGTGCACCGGCATTGTTAGTTTGCGCGTGCGCGCGCGTGTGTCTGCATGCGTTTCTTGTGTTTTGTGTGCGTTGTGCATGTGTATGATGCGTGTGCTGCTGTGGGTGGACGCGGGTCTCAATGTGGGTGTGCGCGTGCTCGCGTGTTTCTGCATGCGTGTCTTGTGTCCTGTGTGCCTTGCGCATGTGTATGATGTGTGTACGGTTGTAGGTGGACGCGCGTCTCAATGTGGGTATAGGATACAGTCAAAAACACCAGGCGCGCACTGGCATTGTATGGTCTGTCTGCGAGTGTGCGCATGCGTGCGGCTGTATGTAGACGCGTGTCTCATGCACGCACCGTGCATGTGTTGCGCGTCGGAGAGGAGAGGAAGGAAGAGGAGGAGGAGAGGAGAGGAGGTAGGTGAGGAAGACGCGGGTGCCACGCGGCAGGGGAAAAACAACCACCCCATTAAGGACACAACGAAACCGGAAAACATTGTTTAAGGCGAGCCTTGCGGCCAAATGTTGGGCCAAAGCTCGACCAAGTTGCCGGATTCCGTGTTCGCTTTACGGTTGTAGAAATCATTGGGGGAGACGCAGGCGCACAGGCCTTCACGCGGCTGCGCCTCGGAAGTCGCGTTCAGTTGAGACCTTGATGTTCAAAGTATTCCTTGCGGTTCCCCCTTCCCCCCGCCGTGGTTATGTTTTTGTTTCTTGGAGGGGATTTGGTGTTCGAATGTTGGAAGTCATGGGCGCGGGTAGCGCAACCTCCATAGGGTTGCCCCCCTAGTGTGTTGATGGGGGAGAATGGGGAGCCTGCTCTTCATTCATCGCCCCTCTTGGCGTGTTTTCTCCCAAATCGTGGTCGAAGCTTGGAAGCCGGGGCTCACATCTTCTTTGGGATCTTTCTCAAAGGAGGAAAAGGTACCCATACCGCTTCCTTTCAATCGTGTTCCCCTTCTTGGGCCTCCTCGGAGGCCCGCGTCGTTATTGCTGGATTCGTTTCGAGATATGGATCAGAATGCACCCCGGGAGAGGTCCAGGGAGTCGCGGTATCGGTACCCATTGGTGTCCCCAGTTTCGACGGCGGGGGCGTTTGGATTTTTTGCGTATGTCTTTTGCTTCGCCACCCGTGAGGGTTGGCGTCTACGCACGTTGTTCAGGCGAGTTACATTCCCGCACCTTTCTTCTGCGCTTTACTTGGACCCTCAGAAGACGAGGCGGTCGACCAGATGTAAACGCAGGCAGAAGCGCACCAAGAAATGGAAGTCAAAACAATTGGTGAGGAAGTCTCGTGCGGAACGATGCAGGACCTTCTTACGGCTGGGTGGTGGATCTGGAGGGGTGGTAGCGGTTGTCCCCTCTCCCCCTCATTGTTCGCTTTATTTATTTATTTATATATATATATATATGTATCTATGGTTTCTTCCTCGTCACGGTGTCGGGGTTTAATCACGATCACTCGTTGGCCAAGCTGTTCAAACTGTTTCAACGTTCCGCAGCAAGGCGCACGTAGGTCGTCCAGGCGCCGAGGAAGATCCGAAGCGGCAGATGCGCGACAAACCAGCGATCCCGACCAGGACCGCAACCGTCCGATTCGCAGATCAGTGCGAACCGAGCAATCGCGCAGGAGAATCGGTGGCTTACCCTCGACATGACCGCGTAGGGCACAAGGGAGCAGCGGTCCCAATTAGGACCGCCGACGCCTTGATCGCAGATGAGCGTGCATCAAGCAATTGCGCAGAAATATCACGAGCTCGGCTCCGGACTTACCAGACAAGGCAAAAGGGAGTAATGGTCTCAATCGGGATTGCAAGCTGTAAGCGCCTTAGACGCAGTTCAGCACGCACCGGGCAGATGCGCAGGAAAACGGATCGCTGGTTCGCCCTCGACGTGACTGTACGGGGCAGAAGGGCGAAACCGGTCCAGACGCAGATCAACACAGCGAGCAGTCGTGCAGGAATTCGCCCGTTCGCCCCCGACGCCTCCGTGCAGCGCCATCCGTGGAGCGCGGCTCCGAGTGCGCGCCGCGCACGGCGCGCGGCCGAAGTGCCAGCGGTGCCCTCAGCAGGGCCAGCCGAGGCAGCGCTCGCGACGCAATGCTGGCATGCCAGCTCGCGGGCCCACGCATGCACATGTCTCAGGAGGGGAAAAAAACACGCAGACACAATTGTTGACGCTTCGCGTATCCCCACCAGCCCATGCAGAAACGATGCTCAGGGGAGTTGAGGTGATCAGGGAAGTCGGGGAGCATGCAGAATAACAAAGGGCGGGGGAAGCTGTCACAGACCCCGAGAGGGGGAGGATGGAAGAGGAGTCGTCGTCGTCGTCGTCGTCGGAGGAGGAGGAGGAGGAGGAGGGGGAAGGAGGAGGAGGAGGAGGAGGAGGAGGAGGACGGAGAAGGAGGAAGAATCGGAGGAGGAGGAGGAGGAGGGGAAGGAGCTTCTTGGGGGTCTTTTGAGGGCCTCTTGGAGGGCTTTTTGGGCGCCTTGGGGCATCTTGGGCGCCTCTTGGGACCCTCTTGAGGCGCTCTGGGGAGCCTTCGGGGCGCTTTTGGGGCCATCTTGGAGGGAGTCGATCAAACAAGAGGGGGGGTTTAATTAGCGTCCCCCCTCGGAAGCCCCTAAAATCGCCTCTTGGACCCCTCTTGGAACGCTCTTGGAGTGCTCTTGGGCGCTCTTGGGGCCGTCTTGGGGCTCTTTTGGGGCTCTCTTGGGGCCCTCTTGGGCCATCTTGGAGCCATCTCCAGGCCTCGGATAGCCATCGGAAGCGAAAAGGCGAGAAAGCAAAAATCATTGATTTTCCTTAGGTTTTGGGACGATTTTGGCCTCTTCGGGGCCTCCTTGGGGAGCTGTTTGGCCACTTGGAGTTATCTTGGGGCCGTCTTTGGGCTTCTTGGAACCATCTTAGGAGCCATCGTGAGCGATCTTGCGCTATCTTGAGCCATCTTGGAGCTCATCTTGGGTTCTCTGAGGCGCTCTTGGAGCCGTCTTGGGCCATCTTGGACGCTCTAACTACCCGCGGCCCCCCCCGTCCAGGTCCAGGGGAGGGGGTAGGGGGAGGGGTAAACCCCTCCCCAAGGGGGAAGAGGGAGGGGTGGAAGAGGATCTGCTCTAGACCACCTACGCCCAGAGGGCTGGTGGGATTCCTCGTCGATTCCCAAGAAAATATGGGAAACTATGGGCAGCGTGGGTGAAGACAAAAGCCCAGAAAAAACATGGAAATATGGGGGATATTTTTATTTGTGTGTATTCATTTATGTGTCCCAGGGCCCCTTCAATGTCGTTGGACCCGAGACCCTGCTTCCCACTGGGGGGCGAGCGGCTATGCTACGTGATCATCCTCAGCGTGTGCGCCACAGCCATGGTGGCCTGGGGCGGCGAGGCGCACGGCAGCTGCTCCACGTATCCTTCGGCAGCAAATCTTGGGAGCCTTGTACACCCTCGCAATTCTGTCTTCAGCGTCGACGAGCGTCGGTTAGCGCCTGGGAGGAGATGAGAAGGCGCCGATCTGGCGCCGGCTAGCGTCGATGACCGTAGATCAGCGTCGCTCTACCGTCGAGGAGCGTCGACCCGCAAGAGCCGACACGACGGTAGGCTCCCATGGGTTGCCGCCGAGCCATCCCGGCGGCCACTTCTGCCAGATCCAGGACATCTACAGCCTCAACTTTGCGCCCGTGAGCCAGGGGCACGGCGCCGTGAGCCTGTTCCTGGTGACGTACCCCGCCATGGCCGTGGCCAGCATCCCCATCGCGGCGATCACCCTGCGCAACACCATCTCGAAGAGGGCACAGTGCCCGGGGGCGGAAGAGAGGGGGGTGGTGACTAGGGGGGGGGGGGACATCATGGCGGGGGCCATGATATCTCCCCAGATTTCGTGGCGCCTCTTCTGATTCTATTGCGTCCCTGGCCCCCCCGCTGGGCCGCGCGCATGCCGCCGGCCATGATTTGCAGCCCCCCCCTTCTTGGACACCCCCCTCTTGGCCGCTCCCGAACTGCCACAACCGCAAGAACCTTCGGAGCGCTCCGCGTGGACTTCCCTGGATCGGCCCTGGGGCCCCCCTGGCGGCGCCTCCGCGCCGCGCCCGGCGCGCCCCGCGCTCCGCGGGGAGGGGAGTCCCCGTGCAGATCTGAGAAATCTGCGCGGAGCTTCGAACTGTACAGTCGGGGCGCTGAAGAAGGAACCCTTTTCGTTGGGGAGGGGCTCGGTGTTCCTTGCTTGTTTCACAGCTTTCCTCAGGTTTTCCTTAGGTTTTCGATGGGAAGTCGAAGTTTACCTTCTGGAGAAAATGGCATCGTTCCTTACTTAGGGTTCCTTAGGTCAACGCCCCGACTGTATACCTTTTGCCTTCTTCGAACCATGGGCCGCTGCCTGGACCTCCCCCCCGCAGACCCGAACAACCCGTACACCAGGTCCAACACGGCGATGACCCTCGGCGTGCTCCTGCCGCCCTTCGCGGTGGCCTTCTTCACCGAGGACGTGCAGGCCGTCATCAAGTACGTCGGAGGCTACGCGGGGCTCACCACGGCCACCTTCTTCCCGGTCCTGCTCGTCTGGCGGGGCCGGCGCATGCTGGACCAGAGCGTGTCCGAGACTTAGTGGGCCCTGGAAACGGCAGGGCCGTTTTTTTACTGGTTCCGTTTTGCCGTTTCTTTGCCGGTTCCGACGCCGTTTTTTCGCCGGTTCCGTTGCCGTTTTTTGACCGGTTCCGGCTCCGGTTCCAGTCCTGGAGCCGTTTTTGTTTGCCGTTCCCGGTCGCCGTTTTTTTCGCCGCCTCCGGTGAAAAAACGGCCCTGCAAGGAAAAGGAGAGCGGGAGCGGGAGGGGGAGGTCCGCAGAGGTCCGAGAGGGAGGAGGAGGAGGAGGAGGAGGAGGAGGAGGAGGAGGAGGAGGCCGTTTCTGGGGCCCACAGAGGTCCGAGAGGGGGACGGACAGCGTGCCCCTGCGCGACGACCGCGACAGGCCGGCGGGGGGGCGGCCGACGGGGCGGGCGCTCTCGCAGGAAGGGCCCGAGGGAGGCCCTCCGCGGGCCTGGCGGGAGGCTGTCTTTGAGCCTTCCCCGAGGGCAGGCCGGCGGCTCCTCGGAGGGCCCGAGGGCTTCTGCACAGCCCCGCCGCAGCTTGGAGTTTCGGGCTCTCTTCCCCAGAACCCCGAGGCGCACTGGAGTTTCGGGCTCTCTTCCCCAGAACCCCGAGGCGCACTCTTCCCCCGAGGCTCTCGGAGCCTTCCCCGAGGGCAAGCGGCGGCTCCTCGGAGGACCAGAGGGTCTCTGCACAGCCCCGCCGCCTCCTGAGATCTGGCATCGTTTGGACGTGTGCATTTTTTCCTCGGCGAGAACCATCGAGGACCATCCTCGACCAACGAGCAAAAAAGAACACGCACGAAACCGAAAAATGCACGGGAAATGGACGTCCGAGCGACGGCGAGGAGAAGGCCTGTCCATTCTCACTTCCCCCTCCCCCGGGCGTGCGCCGAGCAGGCCCCTGAAGTCGCCCTGCGCCGGCCTCGGCGGCTACGCGGTGGTGGTGACGTTCTACCTGGCCTCGCTGCTCTTCGTCACGAAGCAGCTGTTCTTCTCCGAGTAGTGGCAAGGGCGCCCTCTAGGACGCGAAGCTATTCGCGCTTCGCGTTTCGGCTTCGATTGTTTCTCATCCTACTCTTTGTCCCTGGGGGAGGCGGCGCGAGAACGCGAAGTTATTCGCGCTGCGCGCTTCGCGCTTCAGCCCAGACGTCTCCTCATCCTCCTCTTCTTCTTCTTTTTGTGGCGGCGCGGGACCGCGAAGCTATTCGCGTTTCTCGCTAGGCGCGCGAAGCTGGGCGCCCCCGGTATGGGGCGGCCCCGCGCGCGCGGCGCCGCCCAGCCTCCCCATCCGAGCAGCTGTCGGCCGCCTTGCGCGGCCCGAGCGTGGTGGGAGGAGGAGCCACCCCGACCCCGATGCTTTCGAGCAGTGGCGAAGCGTCCTGGCCTGCCTATAGGCCTACCAGAACATGTTCTGTGAACGTTTTGCGATTTGCACGACATGGTCTTAGGGCATTTCTGGCCGGGACTGTACTGTTGCAATATAAGCGGGTTTATCTTCGAATGAGTTCATTCTTGTTATCAGGGCAGTTAGTGGTTCGAAGAACATGTTGTGGTAGGCCTAGGGGAATGTTGGGACGGTCGGTCCCTGCTCAATGAGTCAAACGGTGTTCCATCTTTCCTCCTCTTCAGGGGGCGGGCGGAAGCCCAAAACCTTCTTCCAACGCCTTCCTGCTTCATGTTTCTACCCACTTCTTCCGACCGACGGGTGCTTGGCGTTTGCCAAAGCGCCCAGGGCGTTTGCTAAACGGCCTTGCCTTGCTCGGGTTCTTCCTTGAGCTCACGCGCGCGCAGTGCCACGCACGGGCAGGCAGTGCCACAGCTGTGCAGACACGCGGCTCACATGTTCAGAGTGCCACCAATGGGAAGAGCGCGCCACAACAGGGCAGACACACGCCTCACACGCGCAGGGTCGCGGCCACCAATGGGCCTGGGACACACGCCTCTCACGTTTATCGGCGTCACCCCAACACACCAATGCTATGTGTGCGTGCCCCCCCCCCCAGCGGCGACTCGCGCGCGCCGAGAAATCTTATGGAATAAGCTCCTTGGCGGGCGCTTTCTCGTCACTCGGGGAACCATCTACTACATGGTGGCTGAATTACCCGTTCGGGTCGGACGGACGCCTCCAAAGAGGACATATAGACATATAGTATCAGTATGTCTTTCTGCGTCCCAGTTCACTGAAAGACCCAGGGTGTTCACCAAACGGCCCTGACCTGTTCGATTCCTCCCTTGGGTGCGTTTGCTGAAGGGCTCCGCATGTCTCTACCCTCCCAGATGGGGTCCAAGCAGATCGAGTCGGAGGATCGCGCCGTATCGTCGATGCATCGGCGACGTGGCTCGAAATTGAGCCCGACTTTCTCAACGCCGATGGCGCCGATGCATCGCCGACGTCGCTGATGCATCGCCGATACATCGGCAATGTTTTGCCGATGTGTCGGCGATGCGGCGCGATCCTCCGACCCCATGTGCTCGGACCCCCTATCCAGAAGGCCTCTACAAACGGCCCTGCCTTGTTGGATTCCTTCCTTCCTTCCTTGCTGGGGTGCTTACTATGAGGGCGGATGTTCTGCTTTCTGAGAGGGCTGCTGCTGCTTTCCGACGAGGAACCCTGTGCGCGCGCGGCACACAGGCCTCTCGCCCGCGCGCCGCGCCAGCGGTGATCCCACTTCGTTAGTCCTGGCTTGCCTCGTTTGCCGCAGTTGGGTTGCCGTCGGATTCTGTATGCTGCAAGTCGGCCCATTAGGATGCGCAACACCTGGGGGGTAACTTGAGAATCGGCGCTGGTCGATCCGCGGTCGAGTTCCGCACTGATCCAGCACAATCCGGCTTGATCCAGCCTAACCCCGCTCAGTCTGGTTTCACCCCGCTTGACCCGATTGGATCTTGGGTCTCATCCGGCCTCAGCCGACTCAGTGGCCCTTTCGTCTGGCTCCGTAGCTTTCAATCGCTCTGACGGAGACCTCCCAGGCACTGTTCAGGAGGGATATGGGAGAATATGGGGAATCCTTTTATTTATTTCGGGGGTGGACAGAACCCCCAACAGTGACACGTCGATTAGTGAATTGCCCGTTTTCGGTTCTCGAGAGGGCGCCGTGGCCGTTATTTTAAAGGCTTGCGCCCGCCAGGTTTGGGCCTCAGGTCGTTTTCACTAAACCGCGTTTTACGAAAGGGGGGTCTGTCCATCCCCGATGATGTGTATTTATTTGTGTGTCCTTGGGCCCCTTCAGCTGTTGCCTCCCGAGGTCGAGGGCTGGTTGAGCACGCCCTGTCGGAGGTCCGCGTGTCGGCGCCTCCGGCGCCGCCCCTGGCCCGCTGCGTGCGACAGGGAGGAGGGTCCAGTGCCGATCCCAGAAATCCACGCGGACCTCCGAACATTTTAGTTTCCTGCCGATCGTTTTATCTTCCGTGCTTCGGCGGCGAGCGAGGGGGGTAATGAGAGGGAGAAGGCCTTCTCAGAAGACGGCGGGGCTTCTCAGAAGCCCTCGCGCCTTCTGAGGAGGGGATACTTGCCTTGGGGGAGGCTCAGAAAACTTCTCAGAAGGCCGGGGGACTTCCGAACCTTCTGCGAAGGCCTTCTCCTTCTCACTTCCCCCCCTCGCTCGCCGCCGAATACTGTTTGATGTGCTGGACAGTTTTGCCGCAACGTCGACATCTATCTTTTCGACAGCATGTCCCGCAGCAGCGGGACCCGCTAGCACTCCGCAGTGCCTCCCGCAGTCCGCGCGGTCGTCGCCGCCGACGACATCGTCGTCGTCGTCGTCGGTGTCGTTCTTGTCGTCCTCGTCCTCGTCCTCGCCGTCGTCGTCGTCGTCGCCGTTGTCGTCGTCGTCATCGTCGTCCGTCGTCGTCGTCCGTCGTCGTCGTTCTCGCCGGTGTCGTCCTCGCCGTCCTCGTCCTCGCCGTCCTCGTCCTCGTCGTCGTCGCTGTTTTCGTCGTCGTCATCGTCGTCCGTCGTCGTCCGTCGTCGTCGTCGTCGTCCTCCTCCTCGTCCTCGTCCTCGTCCGCGTCCGCGTCCTCGTTCTCGTCGTCGTCCGTCGTCGTCGCCGTTGTCGCCGTCGTCGTCGTCGTCGTCGTTCTCGTCCTCGTCCTCGTCGTCGTCATCAGCAGCAGTCGTTCGTGTGGCCGTGAGTCTACCTGGGCCGCCCGCTGGGGCGCGGCGGCAGCCGCGCTCCGCTGCCCAGACGGGAGCGATGCCCTTCTCTCCCCGGGGTGTCGGCCCGAGGGTGCCAGGAGGTCGCTCCGCACAGGGCGCCAGGAGATCGCTCCGCACAGGGCGTGGTCGGCGGGCGCAAGCTCTACACCTGCACCGGTCCTCCTCCTCCTCCTCCTCCTCCTCCTCCTCCTCCTCCCTCCTCCTCCCCTTCCCTCTCCTCCTCCTCCTCCTCCTCCTCCTCCTCCTCCTCCTCCTCCTCCTCCTCCTCCTCCTCCTCCTTCTCTCCGGGGTGGCGGCCCGAGGGCGCCGAGAGGGCGTTCCGCACAAGGCGTGGTCGGCGGGCGCAGACTCTATGCCTGCACTGGTCCTCCTCCTCCTCTTCGCTTCGCCATGCTGTGGGGGTGCGACTCGCCCGCAGCGTCGGCAATCGCACGCGCGCATGCGAACAGCAGGTCAAGGTGCCTGTACAGGCCTCCAGCCAGCGAGCCCGCGAGTTCGCCCAAGTTGTAAGGCAGCCAAGTGAAAGCCCAAGTTGAAGAGGATAGCAAGCACAGCCAGTGCCACGAGATCACGACCCGGCTCGAAGATCGTCGCGTCCACAATATTATCACTACCAACAAACGTCCTACACTCCTCCACCCTCCTCCCCCGCGGCACTCGGTATACTGGCCCAGAACGACGTGCATCTCCTCGAGACCTTTGTGCACGCTCGGAGTGCCAGCCACGGGCGCAATGCTACGCAGAGCTAAGAGCGCCGAGGTCGACCGTGAGAGGCAGGCGCTATAAGCTCAGCCAGGGTCACGGTCTATTGGACGACGATGTCGTCCGTGAGAGGCTGGCCCACTGCCAAGCTCA